CGGTGCACCCAATACTACATACCGCGGTAGAGTGCGATATGTGGGAAACACCTCACCAACCCTGGAAAAAAAATGTAGCATGGTTGTCGCTCCTTTTTTTAATTATTATTAAATCATGTATATATTAAAAAATTAAAAATATATATATATCAAAATTCATGGTTTTTAATTCCCAAAAAATAGAGTCTAATATTAATATATTACTTACATATATTTAAAATTAAATAAAAGTGTGGTAATATATGGTATGACACCCATCATTTTTGTGAGGTGCTGGAAAAAAATGACGTAGTGGTGCAAAAGTGTGGTATGACACATACCAGTCTTAGTTAGGTAAAATTGAAAAAATAATTTAAAAAGTTAATTATTTTTAGACAAAACTGCAAAAATTGTCACTGTGGTATGCATTTTTTCCGAGGTTTAGTCCAAACCTCGAGTTTTTTTGGCTTCATTGTCCTTTTGAGGTAGTTTCGTTGTAGATTTGGTCCCCTCAGTAAACTGTAATGACTTTAATACCATTGAGGTATTTATTTTATATTTTTCTTTCATTTTTTTAATCTAATACTTATTTATTTATTTAAACAATAAAAAATAAGAGGGTTCATCTCTCTCTCTCTCTCCGATAATCACACGATGTGACAACCCGAAATATTTGGATCAAGCAAGGTCTAAATCGTAACCATATTACCATAAAAACATTGAAGACTAAAAGGGAATAGGTGCATGTACATGGAAGTATACATTTTAGAACTCACATATAGGGTAACCTCTTGAAAGTAAACAAGTTTAGCAAGACAAAAGTGAAACAAGTAAATTGGAGTTCAAGTTGCAATAAGTCTTAAGTAAACAATGTAATCCAACAATGTCACAACTACCAGTTTAGAGCAAGGGTTTTCCTATTCATGAACAAGATAGTTCTTTGTGTAACTATGTAACGTCATGTTTAAATGTGAACCAAACTTCAATGGTATATCAGTTTATTCATCCAGAAATTGTGTTCTACTCGGAACCTCCTCGTGTAAGCCAAAATCAAACCTAATAAGCCATGATCACTTAACTTTGGGCCTTAACCTAAGCCTTCTCTGTCCAAACTTTCTAATGGACTTAGACCTTCTTATTGGGCCCTTCTTCGGCTAAAAGCCCTGGTTAACCGTATTATGGGTCGAGAGCCCATATTTGGGCCGAAAATTCTTAATTAACATAGTTTTGGGCCATAAGACCCTTCGTGGGCCTTATTGGGCCGATAACCTCTCAATTTATCTCTATGGGCCGAAAACCCATTTATTTAACCGCATTGGGCCAATGTAATCTCAACTACACTTAAATCCAATCCCAGTATTTCTTTTCCTTTCTCCCCTCTCCTAATTCTCGGTTTCATAAAAAAAAAGAGAAAAGATGGTATAAATTCAAAAGATGACACCTCATTTTTGTATAGAGGTAATCCATGCAAATTATCTCCCATATTTCTAGGTTCAAGATTTCTAAACCTCCATGTAATGACCATTAAGCCATCTCTCTCCTCTCTCCCTCTACTTACGGCCGAGAATGCCTCACCACCCCCTCATTTCATTCATTTTCCAATCATAAAATTCTCTCAACTCCTTATCTCTCTAGAAACATCAAGAACTACCTTTTCCCCCTTCAAGATTTCGTGAGTTTGTGTGTGTGTGTGTGTGTTCAAGAAGCTCTCTTCAAAGCCTTCATAACTTGGTAAGTATTGTTAAACTCTTTTGGGTTCATTCCAATATTACACTAAAAATCCTCCTTCTTACACTCCCTTTTCATGTTTTGCTTCCTAGAACCATCAAGTTTCGAAACTCTTCCTAAAGGAGTTAGCTAAGGCCGAAAACACCCCCATTCTTCCCTTCAAAACCGATCTAACATCAAAGTGAGCTTCATACCCCCTTGTTTTCAAGCTTTACTACTTTTTGGGGGAGAATACAAGCTAGTTTTGTGGTTAATCTTAGTATTATGCATGAATGTGTGTATTTGTCATGATTATGTTGTGTTAATATGCCATGAAAACATGTTAAACATCCATACAATTTGAAATATCTTCCAAGTCTTGGTGATATTTGTAAACAAACTACTTGATGTAACTTTTTATAATGTTGGAAAGATTAAACATGTAAAAGTTACTAGAAAACCAAAGAAAGAACATAAAAGGGCCATACTTGACAATAAAGATAAACAAAATGGTCTTTTGGAGACATTTTCGGTTTTAATGGACTTAAATTGGCAGTTCATGGTTTTATGGGCCTTATTTTCACAACCCACAGTTTTATGGGCCAAAAGTGACATTTTTCATAAAAAATGGGCCTTGATTGTAAATTTTCGGCTTTAATGGGTCTAAAATGTCATTTTTACAAAGAATGGGCCTTGGTTGTAAATTATCGGCTTTAATGGGCCAAAAATATCAAATTTGGCAAAAAGTGGGCCTTTATTGTCAATTTCGGTTTTGCTGGGCCAAAAAGGGTCATTTCTAACAAAAGTGGGTCTTTTATGTCATTTTGGTACTATTTGAACTAAAACAATCATTTTGGTAACAAACGATTTTTTTTACGACATTTTTACTCTAATTGGGCCTTATAAGCCCATTGACATTCCTATTGAGCCATGTATGATAATGACATTCAAATTGGGCCTTTTATGACAAATACTATAAGAATCGGGCCGTTAGTGAGAATTCTAATACATTCGAATTATTCACGATACTTTGGGATAACTAGAAGTTGTTCGCAATAACAACAAATATTTTGACACTTTAGATAAAAATAGTTATATTTTTATCACCATTAGTTTGTAGTCAAAATTTACATTTGCAACACTATTTATAACGTTAAATAATGGGATACACCATTCGCGTAAATTTAGTTAAGGCTCTTGTGAGACATGCCTTCATTCGTACCTACCTAGCGTACACCGTAAGCCCTGTAGTTATAACCAGAGTCTCCTGGAGGGAGAGCGAGAATTTGTGTATAGATCTATACGGGGTTGACACCCCCGCACCTGAGTTGTTCGCTACAGCTAGACGGTCCAGTCTAGGGTGACAAATATCTTACCGAAACCGATGCCTGAAGAACGTCATGACAGGCATATCAGTCATATCAAGTATGGTTATAGCGACTCACATAGAGAATAACGAACAAATGAATTTACGGAATGCACATACTATACTCATGATACAAAGTACGAACTATACAGTTACTATTCACGTTTAAACTTTCACCACCTAGGTCTTAGGGTTAAGACCACACCTTTTCATCTATACGGATAATATAGGATTTTCTGGGAAACCCTATTTATACACTATCAAACAAAATCACACATGCTCTAATACAAGATTGAAACAAAACTCTCAAATTACTTTTACAGAAAATATCAGATTTTCTGGTGTTACAAACTGCTACAAAACTTTTCATACAAACATGCTTATGAACTCACCAACATTTTTATATGTTGACGCTTTTCAAAATGACTTGTATTCTCAGGAACACGTTAAAATAGGTTGGTCGATAAGGAATGAAGATTTTGTTGTATTATTGTTTCTCACCATACTTGATGTTTTGGATGTATTGTTATAAACAAATACAAATGATGGTTGGTATATTTTATGTATGGCGATGATGTTGTCTTTGATTCATTTATATGCATTGTGATGATATTACAAGATGAAGTCACCCGCCCCGGACGTTTCCGCTGTCTGGTTCAGGGGTGTGACGCACGATGAACTACTGACCATTTTCATCTTATTCGATTAACTCCCCCATCTTTAGTAAAGATGTTTACTGTTCCAAAATCAAGACCAAACTTATAAAAAAAAACTCCATACTGTTTCATATACAATTACAAACCTCATACAGAAAATCAATAATGAGCTCACAGAAATCAATGCCACCCCATATCCTTCCTTGATTATCGATTGCCAAAAATTTGGATGTTATTCGGATTTCACTTGTTTCTTGTACCCTTCTCCACCACCTAGATCATAACAACCATTCAATTCTCCACCTCACAACCTTCAATTCACCACTAAAAAATAGTCGCAACACCACCATTATTTCTCCATTGTAAGACCCTCATCAAACCATTAACCACAACCAATGTTCATTTTTTAAACCCAAACCGGAAAATCAAGAAAACAACACATGCATGAGAGAGAGAGGGAGAGGGGGAGAGGTCAACCCCCTTTTGCCATTATTCATAATCTCTCACCACCTCCTATCTCCACCATCACTTCCCCATTGTCATTACTCTTTTTTTTTGGTTAGGTAAAAAAACCCAAATTAAGATCAGCCAGAAACGCAATGAGAAATCCCAAATTGGTATTGGTGGGTTTAACTTCAAGAGACAAAGGGCAAAGTCAAATGTTGCCAACTGGTGACTTGCAGTGAAGTGTGACGAGGATGATGGAACAAAACCAAACAACACCAAAACTGAAGTTTTTTTTTTATTTTTTGCACCCAAACATGTGTATCATCGACAATTTTCCTTCTCCGTTCTCTGACTCCATTGAGTTCTACTTCTCTGGCGAATACGAGTGAAACCTGCTTCTCCGGAGATTACGGGTGAAACCTACTTCTCTGGTGGAGGTGGGTCGTCGGAAAAGATAAAGAGGAGGGTGGTGGAGATGGAGGAGTATGGTGTCGGAGGCATAAATAAACATAATATCATTTCCATGAAGGATTATTGAGAGAGAGAGAGAGAGAGAGAGAGAGAGAGAGAGAGAGAGAGAGAGAGAGAGAGAGAGAGAAAAAGAGAGAGAGAGAGAGAGAGAAAGTCCCTCTTATTTTTTAATTGTTTAGATAAATAAATAAGTATTATATTTAAAAAATGTAAGAAAAATATAAAATAAATACTCAAAGGTATTATAATCATTTAGTTACTGAATGACCAAATTCTCAACAAAACTAGCTCAAAAATACCACGAAGCAAAAAAGTCTTTTTTTTTTTTAATAAATGGGTTGAAGTGTTGAACCAACCGGGTTCGATCCATTGCCCGCCCAAACAGAGGTTCAAGAACATGGGAGTTACATAGATCTTTTGAGGCAAAACCCGTGTTTATCATATCAAACATGGGAGCGTTATCATCATCTTCCCCTCTTATCCTACGATGTATTCTCCGACGTCCACCGCCCCCCACCACCACCCATATTTCTTATATTGCTCCTTTTCTCAAACCCTCTAACCGCACTCCTTCTATATGCCTCCCAACCCCTCGACGACCAATCTATCACGATACTATACGCTCTCTCACTCCTCGATCTCTCTCCACCTCCACCTCCCCCTCCCCCTCCCCGGAAATCCAACTTGCCATCTCTGAAGAAGAAGGCGCTGAAAGCGACGACGAATCAGAAGTCGGAATCGATGATAATCACCCCACCGAAACTGCAATTGAGAAGCCTGTCGATCCTAAAATTTCGAGTGCGCATAAGGAAATGTTGTCGAAATTGAAAGGCATGAGTGTGAAAGAGAAGAAAGAGTTGGGTTCTTACGCCAACAGTTTGGGGAAAAAACTTAAATCTCAACAGGTGGGGAAGTCCGGCGTCACTGATTCCGTTGCCACGGCGTTGGTCGAAACCTTAGAAGCCAACGAGCTTCTCAAGGTAAAACTTTATTTTGAACACTTTCCAATTGTAGTAGCATTAACTAGTTGTTGTTATTCAGGGTAGGGTTTATTATTTTGGATTTAGGGTTTATCCTGTCTCACTTGAATATCACGCAATCAGTTTGAAAATGTACATCCAAACACCTCCTAAGTTTGCAACAGCTCCATTAAATAGAATAAAACAAGTTATCAAGATATTGCAACTATTAACTGAAGAGCTCTCTAGGGTTGTACAATGTCGAAATCCTGACTTTAACTTGATATTTTAGGGCTATACTTGAAGATTTTCAAAAGTTTTAACTTAAATAATTTAGGGTTTATATAAATGAAATTAAGTTGCTATTTTGTGCATTAAACAGCTTAAAATTCATAACAACTGTCCGGGAGAGCTAGACGAGGTGGTGGCCCAATTAGAAGAAGCCACGGGTTCAGTTGTGGTTGGTCGAATTGGTCGAACTGTCATCATTTACAGACCCAGTCTAACAAAACTCATATCAGAGGAGAAAAAGAAACAGGCCCTCAAGGTTTTTCTCAAGAGAAGAGCAGCATTTAAGTCATCATATCAGGTTTTTAAAAAATATTTATAGTTAAATTAAAAAAAAAAAAAAAAAAAAAAAAAAAACTATAACATATACAAATATTTTTCTTTATTTTGCCAATTCATTTTTTGATGCAAACGTTACACTCACAACCTTGTGATTTTTTATATTTAGGGGAAAATGCTGAGCAGAAGACAATCGTCGACATCACCTACTCGAAGTCGAGATTTTAGAAAGTCTTAGGTTGGTGAAGCTGTGTACAACTTGAGAAGCATATTGTACATCTTGCGATGCGGATTGGATGGAAAGGAGGCTGGATTGGCTTGTAGTTTATGGTGGCTTTGAGTGGCTTTTATCAAGGGCAATTTGGGGGGAGTAGCAATGAATTTTACTCTTTTTATCAATGTAGGCAATGTACTTTGGTTTTACTACAAGAGCAATTTACTTATATTTTTGTACACAAAATAGCAATGTAGTTATATTTATCTAGTTATAAAAGCAGTTTTTTTTTTATCCAAAATAGAAACATGCTTATATTTTTCTATCAACAATAGCAAAGTACTTTCATTTTCCTAAATGCACAATGTATTTTCTTTGGTACATACATTTATTATTGATAAATGAATGTGAAATGGTTTATGTGGTTTCCTACATTCGCTAGTTTCGTCCCTGACTTCTTTTCCGTTACACATATGCTCCCTCTGTTTTCTATTTTTTATTATCTATTTTATACTTTTATTAAACTAATTTTAATTAAAGATAAAAAAAAATCCCAATAAAACCCTACTAGCCGACTACCTCCTTTCCTTCCACCCACGTTCATCTTCATTGTCTTTCCATAATCTAGTTAATCCTCACATTCTTCTCCACTTTAATCACATGCAATCGTTGTCGATTTCCAATTATGATGATAAGGATTTTACATAATCGGATTGATTATGAAAGTAGTGAGCTAATTTGCATATGTGGGTTTTTATGAATTGGTCTAGTCTAGTCTCCAACGACGCACCCCCCCACCCACCCACACACACCAGGGTTTCTCTCATGAACTAAAATCATGGTGGTCGGTGGAGGTTTGTTATTTTATTTAGGATTTTTATTGGATGAATCATGGAGGAGCTATAAAGAATCAGAGATTTTCCACCTAAGAGTTATGGTTAACCCTTCGGTGGTCACAAACAATTGAGTGGCAGTTGTGTCGACTTCAAATTAGGATGGTAAGGCATCATGGTGTAGGCATGGTTTAGCCTATGGATTGCCACGGTGGACCATGGGAACACCGCACCCACCCTGCGGTCTTCAATGCGGGTTGGCCGCATACGGCTAGAATTAGTCGCACCCTCTCTCTTCCTTTCTCCTCTCCCAATGTTCGAATGGTCAAAATTTTAAAATTTAATTTTTTCCCTTTTTTACCTATAAATAAAACTTCACAACCCTTAATTTACCACACCTAAATCCACTTTCTATCTTTCTGTATATTTGTCTCGAAAATGTTAAGATGTCTTTTCCAACAACCAAAAAACACTCACTAGAAACACCTAAAGACCTTCTTATGATCAATCGATATATTCGCTTCCCATTTATCACTATCTCGGTATGTTATTGTATTATCTGCAACAATACCAACAACCACAAACACAAACCGTACCTGACACCGACTTTAATCTGAAGATGTTCCCAAAGAAGTGTCAGCATTGGCACGAGCATGGATAGATGTTTCCGAATATGAGAAGGTTGGAAAAGACGAAAAACATGACCATTTTGGGATGTGAGTTACAAAAGGTTCCACAAATGAATGAAACAAGCAGAGTATCGTTCAAAAGACCAAGTTTATTGCAAATAGGAGAAGACAAACAATGAATTCATGTTGTTAATGATTTATATAACAACAAAAAACGTCAAGGGAAAAGTAGAGAAAGTGATTATGTGATTTTAAAGAAAACTCTAAACATGTACCATAAAAAAAGGAAAGCTTTCAAATTTATTGAGTTTTGGAATGTCGTGAAAGATAACCAAAAATGAAAAAATAGCAAAACGTTCGAAGAGCATATCGATCGTGGTTCAAAACGCTCAAGAACATCCGAATCCGACCATACTACGTCGGATGCTTGTGTTGGGATCGACCTCAATGATGATGAACTCGTTCAAGTTACACCACTTTCCTGACTAATGGAATGGACAAAGCAAAACTCAAAGACAAAAGCAAAGCGGTAGATTCAGATGACTTGAAAGCCATTGGAGACGAGATGAATGGTATAAAAGAAAGAATGAACAATTTTTTGCAAATTGCTTCCGAAAGAGAGTATAGGAAACAAAGGGATAGTGACATGAAACTACTAACACTAGACACAAGTCACATGATGAAGGAGGAACTTGAAATTGCTTTGGCAATGAAATTAGACATTAAAAAATGTTATGTTAATTAGTTTTTTAATCTCTTGTGTATTTTTTGTATGTTTGAAGGTTTAAAAATTCTAGTTATTTTTATTTTCTATGTATTTAGGAGTTTTTTTAATGTCATGTTATGTTTTTTTAAGTAATGAAATTTATGTTTTTTTATTAAAATTTAATTGTTTTATAAAATTATAAAACATTAGTATGTTTGTCATGGTATCCACACCTAGTGTAACAAAGAAACCACATTTTTGTGATAAAAATGACATGACACTGAGGTGGCGTATGTGTGGCAGAGAAGAGATATGATAAGGGTGGCACCACACCCTCCAACCTAAGTGTTTTTCGCAATCGGATAATTATGAAAATAATGAGCTAATTTGTATTAATGGGTTTCTCTGATGAACCGGAAGCAAATTCAAATCCTACTAGTCTCTAGCGATGCAACCCCGCATCTACACAAACGGTTTCTATGATGAACGAGAATGATGGTGGTCGATGGAGGTTTGTTATTTTCTTTTAGGGTTTTTAGTGGGTGGAATATGGAGGAGCTATAAAGAATTTAAAATTTCCCACCAATGAGTTTCTGATCAACCCTTCGATGGTCATAAACAATTGAGTGGTTGCTACAGCCGGCCAACTTGTGATCTATGACATTGTTTTTGTGATGGTGTTTGGTGTGTGATTCCTATAAATAGAACGTGGGTTGGATATGTGTACTTCACCCCACCCCTTCGATTCACAAGGATTTTTAATCTGTTTCTTTCCCTTTCACGCACGATAATTGATTTGCATGTCTATGTTAGGATGATGAGCAGAGGATAACAAGGGTATAAGGAGTTCGTTCCTTATTACAGGGGCTCGGTCACAAGAAAAACGAAGAACATATGTTCCTCTTTTTGAAATTGTTGTAGGTGAACTAAAATAAACAATTGACACTCTTACGACGGAGTACAATAACAAATAGCCGACTGGCCAACGGTGTTATCATGATTTTGCAATTTGCTTCCTTACTTTTTTTTTCTTGAGTTTCACGATTTCGCAATAAGCTTTCCTTCATGAGCTCAACATTCATATGGTCATTTCATCGGGATCGATTGAGCCTTGTTCATCTCTGCAATTCATTGTTCATAATATTTCTCTGATTCGTAATGGTCGGAGACTCAAAATTAGGGCCGGTCCTGAGGATTCAAATTGTAACATCCCAAAATTCAAGACCAAAAATTTCGTTTTCAATTAAGTTATTATAAAACCAACATTATAAAAACATTCATAATAACATCACATGTCAAGACCCAAGTGTCAGTAATCAAAACATGTTATCATAAAATAATATCAGAGTGTAATCCCAAGGATCTCATGCGCGGAAAATCATAGTGTAATGCGATGCGATAGAGTCGGCTCCTTTCATTTGAAAACGAAGTACCTGAAACCAAAACTATAAACCGTAAGCACGAAGCTTAGTGAGTTCCCCCATCATACCACATACCATACAACATATACATTGCCAATCATATCTGGGTGCTGGCCTCCCATTCGGTCTCTTTCAACCGGATAACTGTCTAGCATATATGGGTGCTGGCCTCCCCTTCGGTCTCTTTCAACCGGATAACTGCCTAGCATATCTGGGTGTTGGCCTCCCCTTCGGTCTCTTTCAACCGGATAACCGCCTAGCATATCTGGGTGATGGCCTACCCTTCGGTCTGTTTCAACTAGATAGCGGGGACTATTTCACCCCCTACCACTACCACATAATAACATAGCGTAAACATACTGCTAGGCATGTATGGGTTCTGACGACCCCTTCGGTATCTTTCAACCGGTATTCGATGACTATTTCACCCCCTACTACTACTAACATGTATCACATAGCATCCTAGCACACAAACATAACAGATAATGACATACCAGATAATTATCACAAAGCCAATCATCTAACAAACAACTCCTACTAGTGGGTCGACATTGTGGCCTTAGACCCACTTCTACTGGAAGGTAACTTACCTCACACTGTTGAAGCCCCGCAGACGAAAACTCTAGCTGTTGAAGTCCCACATTGTGGCCCAACTCAAAGCCCAAGTGAAATTTGGGTTTTCACATAAAATGACGATTAGGGTTAAGTGTTTCTCACATAACCTATTAAGGACTTAATCCACTAAGTCCATCACTCTACTAGATAAATCATATGGTGTGATTGGGTGTAATTCACAATTCCATTCCAGTGGCCCAAATGTGGGTCCTGATAACTCCAAGGCCCATATATCAAAAATTAGGGTTTTCTAACCCTAATTAGGGTTTCCAACCCAATCATAGCCCAATAGGCCCAAAACTAAATATTTAGATCAGTTAGGGTTTCAATAGGCCCATTAGGGTTTCACTAGGCCCATTAGGGTTTCGCTAGTCGGGCACCACCAACTACCACCTCGGGTAGTGGTGGTCAATGGCGGCTCACGACGGCGGCCACCACCTCACGGTGGTGGTTAGGGTTTCTAGTCTATTTTTGTCCAAGCATCCAAAAAGCAATCCAAACACATGCAAAGCACACCGCCACCCATCGCGGCGGCCGGTGGCGGCAGGAGGCGGCAGCCACCACCTCACGGTGGTGGTTATGAGTTTCTTTTCATTGTTCTACTTTCTAGATACAATTTACAATGTTAAACCCCAAATAACACACACACACACACACACACTAATACAAACACACACACACAGCCACACTAGTGGTGGCCGACGGTGGCACGTGGTGGTGGTGGCCTTTTTCTTGGTTTTCCGGCTAAACAAAACACACACAACACATACTAACACCAAACAATCAATTGAAACTAACACACACACGCATTGCACACACCATCACTAAACAGCGGTGGTTGGCGACGGCAGCTTAATGGTTGTCGTCAACGAACACGGCAACGGCGACAACTTGTCGTCGACGAACACGGAGAATGGCGGCGGCAGAGAGAAGATGCGACTGTGGTGGTGGCGCTTCGACGAACTGAGGGAGAAGAAAGATGAAGTAAAGCAGCAACGACAGAGGAGGATGACAGCGGCACTAGGAGGCTCCATGACGGCGAAGTAGCAGCGACCGGTGGCGATCGCCTCACCAAGGCG